AAGGTAGCTATAGTATTAGGTCAACATCGCCTCCTTCTGATTTTAGGCCCTTTAAGTCCTGGCTCAGGGTCTCCCCCTAAATTGTGGACGGTTTCTGGGGGGGGGGGGTGACTTTAATAGGTTGCTGTAATAATTGAACCTGTGGGCCCGTCACTCATCCTCGGGGCTATTTTCTTTCCCCAGCATGACACTCCTGTTCTCAGACCCTGACTTCCTTCCCCCTTGCTCAGGGCATTCATTTCCCTACGCCCCTTTCCTTTGCACTGCGCGCATTGATCGGTGCAGGCTCCTTAGACAGGGGTCGGGCATCGCCCCGACGGAATTGCCCCGAAGCCTGTCCCAGCAAAACAGTGGCTGCTCAGGCCTTTTCCTGTTCCCTGTTTTTAGACACCTGTCCACTAACTGGGGAGGACTCATGCCCAGTCCCCCTCTAACTTCTGAAGTTTCTCTCTGGTGTCAGGTGCACTTTGAGAGATAAAGGTCGTATTCACATTCTAATATTTTCAGGGGCTTGTGGGTCTGAATCAGTATATTTTCTATAGGCTTGGCAGGTTCTTTCCAGAAACTCAGAGGGGTCACAGATGTGGGGTTTTATGGTACCAGATTCAGGCTTTTCTGCTTAGGGACTTCTTTCTTCAGTCCCTCAAGGATGTACCTCTTACAAGGCTCTAAGAGAGGAAGGCCATTCTCACTGGGGTCCCACCTGGGCCCCACGAAAGGTATTGCCTTAGTAGGGTCGGAAGCCCAACTGGATTTCCTTGGTGAGTCTCTGAGCCTCTTCATTTGCTTTATCCAGTTCCGACCTCTGCTCATCTCCGGTAAGCAAAATATTCAGTGAGGGTTGTATACCTGCCCAGCTGGGATGGTGGGTGGCAAAAACTAAGCCAGTCATTGTAGTAGGATCATCCCTATAAGGACTTGAGTTTTTCCAGTTTAACAGATCCGACATAGAGAATGGGGTACGTGCCCCGTGATACCCAGCGGGCTGGCCCTCTGGCCCTATTCCCACTGGAAATCTTCACAAAGGCTGTTGCCCTGCCCTGGTAGGGGCTTGTCCTCCACCGAATTCGGTTCCCTGGCCAGTTCAGGACAGAGACCAGCTTAGTTAGGCTCACCTCCTCTGGCTTCCATGGCCCAGTCGGGAGGAAGGTCCCCAGGGCTGGAGGGGCCATGGGGACCCTGGTCACGCTCACAGCAGACACAACAGCCAGAGCTTCTGCTATTGACCACAGGCAAATTCCCTCTCCTCTGGGCCATTAGCCTGTTTCCTTTTAATCCTGCATCTTTGGTGCGTAAAGTCATAAAAGCTTGTACATAAGGGATTTGTCCCATTTCCCTGATCTTTGACAAAGCAGCTCAAATTGCAGTGTAGTATAGTCATTTAAAGACCTGTTCGGCAGCCAGATTATACATAAACCAAACAGTATTACAATAAAAAGTCATTTTCTTTTTAGTCACAGGTTTATAAGCATAGATTGACCGATCAGCCAAAACTCGCCCCAAAGGGCTGTTTCCCAGAACGGAGGCTCCCCCACCCCCACCCCCACCCCCAATCCTTACCAGACAAAGCTCTGATATAGCACACAAACCAAACACCTTAATTCCTTAATTCCTGACACTCCACCTAAGTGTAACTCGGGACTGTAATCCTGCACCAGAAAGTGCAGCAGTTCAATCGAAAGTCAAGGCGACAGGGACTAAGTGCTGAGAGTCCCTAAGTGGAATCACTTGGCAGCTGCTAGGGCGTCTCCAAATCTGCACCCCAGGGCTCCCCAGTCCAGGCAGCCAATGGGATTCCCCGCCAAATACCCAAACTTACCGGAGTCCCGAAGCTATCCCAGCAGAGTCAGCACAATATGAAACCAGAAAAGTCAGGGTGTGTGCTGCCTGTCACTGCCAGAACCATCCAGTAGAGACAAGCATTGAATCTGTATGGGCACTTTATTCAGATGGGTGGCAATCTGAGCTTATGTATCCTCAGGACTGTCTTACATCTCGTCTCAACCCAACCTTTATAAGGAGAAGAAAAGTGTAGGTAAGGGGTTTGGAATTCAGGTAAAAACTTAATCAGATAAAATCTGGACCGTCCAGAGAGTCTTCCCAGCATCCCTCCATCTGCAGTCTTGTGATTGTTAATCCTCACCCAGGGAGAAAGGCATATCAGTTGGCTGTCTCCCACACGACCCCAACCGGGGCCAGGGATCGAACCACAACCGAGGTACATGCTCTTGACCGGAATAGAACCTGTGACTCTTTGGTCTGCAGGCCAACACTCTAACCGCTGAGCCAAACCAGCCAGGGCTGTCTGGTGATTCTTTATCTGTGTCCTGGTCAGCAGGAGGTTCTCTCCCTGGAGCACAGTGGCTCAGATACCATCTTGGTCGCCTTCAGTCCTCCTGGGGCCAAAGTTTCCTGGAACAATAGTGTTCTACGTGCATTAATTACTAAGCCTATTAACCGTGTAACTAAAGCTAAACATTCTTAACTTCTCGAGTTCCCCACCAAAGGTACTGTGAATTTTTTTCTTTACAACTTGAAATGTCTCTCCGTATGTTCCTTTATAATCCAGGCTGGTAGCTCCTTGCTTTCTTCTGATCTCCCATGCCTCCATAGTAGTCTGAGAGTCCAGGATGGGAGTCCGCGAGGTGGGTGCTATTATCTACACCAGCATTCGAATGTAGAGAGTTATTTTTAAGGTGCAAATTCCCGGGCACCTCTGAGGTGTATCCCATTTATATGTTTTTAAATACGCACCCCCAGAAGATCCTGATTGCACCCAGTCTGAGAGTTCCCATTTTAGGGTGACAGCACACCATAAATGCCATGAGGTTAAGTACAAGGCTTCTCCTTGTTGGGTGCCCATCCTATTCCTGGCACATAGAGGGCACTTATTCCATATTTGTTTATAAATTCACACATAGGGACACACTTTGTAATCTGTCCTCACCTACATTTCATCCTCTAGAACTCTGCAAATCACTTACCAAATGGATTTTTTGTTTGTTTGTTTTGTTTTTTTTTAATCCTCACCTGAGGATAGTCCCCATTTATCTTCAGATAGAGGGGAGGGAGGAAGAGAGAGAGAGAGAGACACTGACTGGCTGCCTCTCATATGACCCGACCAGGGCCAGGGACCAAACTGCATCCGAGGTACGTGCCCTTGACCAGAATTGAATCCATGACTCTTCGGTCCACAGGCCAATGCTCTAACTGCTGAGCCAAACTGGCCAGGACAGCAAGTAGTTCTTAATCAGGAGAGGGGGCAGGGAGGGAGCAGAGACTGCTTTGGGAAACCAATGAAAGCTAAAGCAAAATTTGGCCTACACTTTCGGGGAATTCACAATCTTCCCTGAAACTCGTTCATTGTTTCTGTTTATTCATTCACTCATTATGCATCTTGTAACGCCCCTACTGGGCACCAGCAGGGGCTCAGAGCTGTGAGGAACCAGATTATGAACAAGGCTTAGGCAAGATTTCCAGCTAGGGGATGGTCACAGATGTTCTTGTCCCCTTCTCTTCAGATTTGGAGAGAAGACCTCCAAAATTTGGCCCGCAGTAGAAGAAGAAAGAATGTAAATGGGATTTGGAGCTCTTACCACCTCTGGCCTTGTCACCTAGAAGTGTCATGATATGTTTTATCACTCTAACTGGATCTCTGTAAGACAAGGCCCACATCCCTTGTATGCTGAGCAAGGTACCTGAGATATATCGACAATACATAATGGATGTGTGCATTTGGGACGAGTAGGAAGAGGTGGTAGATATTGAGGGAAGGTAGTCTGAGTGACTGCTAAGAATAAGGAAGTGGGTGGCACCTGGTTCTGCTGACTGATTTAGGAGCCCCAGTTCCTAGTTTGCAAACCAACCTTCCTCAGATACATAGAAACTCTAGGTAACACACTAGGCAGGTTTTTGTTTTGCTCTGATTTGTTTGTTTTACCTGTGAAATCTGAAATGAGGATCTAGGGCTCCAGGAACAATTTCTAGCAGTGGTATTTCAAGCCAGTCCCTTGACCTCTGTGAGCTTCGATTTTCTTCCAGTGCAAAACGACAGAGGGTGGGGATCGGGGAAAGCAAGGTATGCTCTTAAGGTCCGGTTGAGACCCGCATTATTCTACTGGATGAAAGGCAAGCATCGAAAGGCCCAAGTTGCCGTCCCCATACCCATACTCATTAGCATCCCTGTCGTATCATGTTGGGGCAGGCTAAGGGCTGTGATGTGATTTCCTGTCACAGTTATTATTTCTTTGGTCTAATGTTTAATATTTATTGCTGTGTTTCAAGTGCAAGAGAGTTAACTCTAGATGATCTATCTACTAGCACATTTCTGTAATTATTTGTAATCTTCCAGCGTCTCCTCTTCTACCAACTGGTGGAGTTCCTAACCATCGACAACAGAAGACCTGGGGCAAAGCAAATGTTCTTTGAGAGTCTGAAGCCTAGAAGGCTGGAGCGGGGAGCTTAGAGAAGGGATGTGCTTGACCTTGTTCGAAGGCTTTTACCTTGGACTATCGGCATGCATAGTACTCCGTTTTGTGTCTGTTTGTTTTTGTTAATCCTCACCCAAGGATATTTTTTTCCATTGATTTTTAGAGAGAGTGAAAGAGGAGAGGGAGGGAGAGAGAGAGAGAAACATTGATGTGAGAGAGACACATCAATTGGTAGGTGCCTTTGACCAGGAATGGAACCCATGACCCTTTGGTCCGAGGACTGATGCTCTAACCACTTAGCTACACTGGCCAGGACAGTACTCCCTGTTTTGTATTAACTATACCACCTTCTCTATCCCATGATTTAGAATAATTTAGGGCTTGCTTCTGTAATAATTGTATTTATTTTCTTCAAAATGCAAAAGATATGTGTATATCTATGCCTTATTTCTCCTTTAAGGGTCTAACTAACAAGAATACCAGAGGGAAATGTGATATTTTATAATATATAGTCTACATTAACAAAAATTCATTCTATTTAGTTATGTTTCTATTTTCCTTTTATACCAGGTATCGTTAAAACATTCCAGGATCATCCGATCGAATTCCACAGGGATTAGTGATCAACAAGAAAGTTCAGACGTGAAAATCTGATTGCTTATCTGTGAGTAGAGTTTATGCGACTTGGGGGTTGGGTGGGTACTCTTCTCTTAACAGTTATATAGCCTCTCGCCTGATTTTCTAAATTCTTTTTTTTTTTTTTTTATCCTCACCCAAAGACATTTTTGTTTTTTGTTCAGATAGAGTGGGAAGGAAAGAGAGGAAGAGACAGAGAGAGAAACATCGATGTGAAAGGGACACATCGAGTGGTTGCCACCCACACGACCCAACCAGGGCCGGGACAAACTGCAACTGCGGTACGTGCCCTTAGTGGGAACCGAACCCGGGTCTCTCCAGACCGCAGGCCAACATTCTAACTGCTGAGCCAAACTGGCCAGGGCTGATTTTCTAAATTCTTGCACCTAAGGATGCACTGTGAGAAGCCAAGCTTTGCGCGATGCCCCCATTGTTTACTTACCAGGCAACCTATCAAGTTTGAAAGGAATTATTTTGTAATATGATATTTAGCTTTATTTTTCACTTTTTCTGGCATATATAATATCTTAAGCAAAGCACTCTCCTGTCAATAATGAAGTCCTTACTTCCTGCAAAGAATGCTGATGACTTAAGCGAATGAAGAGAAGATGAGTCAGTCTACCAGGGGGGCTAAGCTCCCTTTGCACAAAGTCTGGAGATGTCAGGAGTATTACGTACCCCTCCCTTTCAACAAACTCTCCTTAGCTCGGGGAGAAAGTCTACCAGCAGGTCTACCTGGGGAGCAGGAAGAGGGGATTTTAAAAGGTAGGGAGGGGATGAGAAACTAAAGGAAACTTGACTTGTTCACAATTTTACCCAAGTTGACATCAGTAGGAAGGCATGTTTTTCAGGAATTTAGCATGCTTCTCAGGTGATTATTGTTTCAGGATTATATCGGTTACACCCTGTATTAATTTGCTATGGCTGCCATAGCGAAATACCACAGACTGGGTGGCTGAAACAACAAAGATTTATTTTCTCAGAGCTCTGGAGGCTAGAAGTCCAAGATGAAGATGTCGGCAGCCCTAGCCAGGTGGCTCAGTTAGTTGGAGCATTGTCCTGTACACCAAGATGTTGTGGGTTTGATTCCAAGTCAGGGCACATACTGAGGTTGTGGGTTCGATGCTCAGTTGGGGCATATACAGGAGGCAACAGATCGATGTTTCTCTCTCACATTGATGCTTCTTTTTTTTCCTCCCTTCCTATCTTTCTAAAAATTAATAAGAACATATCCTTGGGTGAGAATTTTTTTAAAAAGATGTCAGCAGGTGTGGTTTCTTCTGAGGGCCCTCTCCTTGACTTACAGGTGACCATCTTCTCCCTGTATCTTCACATGACCATCCCTCTGCATGTATGTGCCTGCACCTCTTTCTCTCTCTCTCTTTCTATGTGTCCAAATTTCCTCTTCCTATAAGGACACCAGTCATATCAGGTTAGGGCCCATCCTAGTGACCTCATGTTAACTTAATCACTTCTTTAAAGACCCAGTGTCCAAGTAGAGTCACATTCTGAGCTCCTGGGGATTAAGACTTCAACATATGGACTGGGGGAGGGACGCGGTGCAGTCCATAATACCCATCATTATTTTTTTCTCTAATATGCTGATGTTTTGTTTATTGCTTATGGATCTCTCTCTAATTCTCCTCTTCATATCATCCTCAGAACATTTGTTATTTTCCCTACAGTTTGCTATTGTCCTTCATGTTTACAGCTCTCATTTCCCTGAGACATTTCATAATTTTTGAAATAAAAGGGTATGCCTTTTATATCTCCCATAGCACTAGAGGAGGGTTGTATACAGTAAACATTTGATAATTTTTATTAAATGACTGAATGAATGAATGAATGAATGAATGGATATATTAAATGAAGCCCTCTGACTACGATGTATGATCATTAGTGGTGCTTTCTCTTCACTGGCTGTCCCTCTGTCCCCTACAAACTGATAGAAACAGTCAAGGTCAAGTCCAGACAGGGGCTGAAAGAAAATGACTGAGGCTGAGAGTTACCTCTCTCCTCAGAGAGGCAGGAAGGAGAGAGTAAACAGCATGAATTTACCCCAGATAGGGTCACTCTTCCTTGAGAACATTGTTTGGGAACCAAGAGGGAAAGACAGTGAGTTTTCATTGAGACTTACTGAGACTTACTGAGTTTAAGGGCCCGTGGGACATCCAAGGGCATTTGTCTAGACCACAGGGATATATACAAGTCTAAAACTCAGGTGGGAACTGGAGACAGAGATGTTCACAGTCATAACCTATACATAGGAATTAAAACCATGACAGTGGGTGAGGCCACCCAGAGAGATTGTGTGGAGGGAGAAGAGCTGTGGTTTAAAAAATTGTATTTAGCAAGTCTCACTGATAAATAACAGGACAGGGACCCTCGCAAGAGGAAGGAACCTCCATGCTACTTCTCAGGAGGGTTTGTAAGAGCATGTATATTAGCCAGTGTAGATGTCTATCTATTTCTGTCCTCTCATTTCTTTGATCCTATTTTATTCCTTCTCTTTTCTTCTCTGTTGTAGGATATGCCTCAAACCATTCCTGGGGGGCTTACCCTACCCAACTTTCCTCCCTTCTAGCTAACTCCACTCATGAGCAAGTGTTTAACTTCCCAGCTGCCTGTCCAGGGGTCTCACATATCAAGACCTTCCTTAGGGACTATTTTATGATCAGACTGGACAATAGGAGAGGCCCAGGATTAGACCTTTAATGTCCAAAAGGACAGAAGACAGGTCCTTTCCAAGGTCAGGTGCCACGGAATATTGAATGTCTTGTCTAGGCAGTAGAGGGACCAGTTTGGGGGAATGTCCCTCTTTTACTTCCTGAACTCCCTCCTTAGTCCATTGTTCCCTGTTGATCTCCCACACCACCTGTGTTTTAGAGGAAGCTTTGGAAACATTTTAGGCTTTCACAGCATGGCCAGAATGGGGGCTGGTGGAGTGTATCTGGGCGATGGGTCATGACGGCCATAACAAGCTTCTCCCCTCTGGGCTCCACCATCAAATGTCATTTCTAATGAGGCCATGTTTACTCTGCACTGAATTTCCCTAATTTTTCCTGCTTCCTGTGATGCAAGTAAAACAGAAAAAGGTATTTGTTTCTCTTTGTTTTCTAGAGCGTTACTGCTTTTCCTTTAAGTTCCTTCCTTGCTTTTCTTTTTTTCCCCCTTTTTCTCTCTCCCTTGGTTCTCTTCCTGGAGCAGAAACCCTTGATTTTTCTTTGAATTGTCTGATTATTAGCAAAAAGAGGCTATCAGAGGTCTGGAAGCTTCCTCCTTCTTCTCGGCATATCCCCACCTATTTTTTAAGTAATGAACTTTGACACACCAACTTTCTTCGAGTACCTTCTTCTATACTTTCCTCTTAGTGTTCTCTGAGTAGCCAGGGAAAAGATGCCAGTTTTCTCATAGCTACCCAAAATGTCGATGACACCTGAGTCAGTGATTTTATGCAAATTGTTATTGACCTATAAGATGAAAGGAGAAAATTTGAAGTCAAGAGAAAACAGTTCTGCAATCTATGAATGGCTTAGGTGGGGTGTTCCAAATGAATGGTGGCCAGTGGCCAGCATAGGTGCCTCCCGACTGTGTTTCATTAATTTTGGGCAGCTTAAGGATTTGGAGAGAAAGATAATTTTCCTATGAACATGTAAAAGAAGTGCTTTGAGTCGTGCGCAGGACTTGCCCTTGTTTTAGAACAGCATAAATGGGAGATTTTATGATCACTGTGGGCCAATAATTTTGGAGTCACTTGAAGCTCCAGATGGAGTGGAAAGAGAAGGTTTCTTTCTTCCTATTTCCTTGAGTTTTACTGAACAAGCCTCCTTGGACACCCTTGACAGAGTGTTGGGTCTTCTGTTTAGTTCAAGTGTGCCCACACTTGCTAGAGCAAGATCTAAAGGGGTCTTTCTTACACTGAGAGTCTTTTCTACAGATTTCTGAATGGGGCTCATCTGTGAGAAAGTCTTGAATCCACTCCTTCCCTGAGTCTTACCCCAAGGAGACGGCTTTCAGGTTCTTGTCATGGGAGGAAAAGGATGAGCTCAAGTTTGGTTAGGGATTAAGAGGACATGAGGAACATGGATTCCCATGGTTTCCTGACATTCTGGAAACCTTCATAATAAAGAGGGTAAGAGGACATTCCAGTATCACTCCGTACAGATTTTTAAACTTTGGCCAAATGATGGCATTTTCCTGACCAGGGAAATACACCAGGCCTTGAGCAGCACCTCCATGCAAGCACACATCCCTCCCTAGCAAGGCTATTGATGGAAAGGACGCCAGAGTGGACACCCCAAGATGGGGGCACAGATAGCAGTGAGGAAAACAAACAATGGTGCCGGGAGCTCTTTTCTAGAACTCTCCAGCCTTTAGTTCCGGTAAGCACGTGTATGCAGTAAAGAGAAAAAGAATGATTGTTATATAGCTTTCAACCAAAACTCTCAAAAGTCTTACCTGAGGCTCCCACTGTGATAGAATGTGTACAGTTCAAGGGCACAGACTCAACTGCTTCCAAACTCTGCTTTGGGATGCGCAACGAAGCAAAGTTGTGGACATCTTCCACTATTCCATGCGACAGACCTCCAACAGGATTGAGCAGGATGTGAGCATTCAATCCGAGGAGGGGGAAAAAATCTGAGACATTTTCCTTCCCACTGTTCTCTGTATGCCAGGTCCAACTCAATGTCAAATTAAATCTAGATTTTTTTAATTGACTTTTACTAGAGAAGACGGCAGAGCTGCATTCCCTGAAATAGACATTTCAGGCCAAACTTATTACTTAGATTTTTTCCTCCTCTTTCTTGCTAATTCAAAACAAAATGTCTATCATTCACTCTCACACCAGCCTTTAAGAGCTGGAGACAAATGGAGTCTGAATATTCACGCCCATGTGGTACAAATGAGCTGTGATTTCAGGATGCTGGCTGTTTCTCTGACAGGGGAAAAGAGCGGTTGACTAGTTTAATATTTTTGGCTGAAAACACTTTGTTCAAGAGGGATGGAAAAGGCCAACATTAATATTGA